ATCATTTTGAAATGTATTAAAATACGTCATTAAAATAAAGGTTAATGACATCTTGATTGCTCTACTATATATTAGATTTCACAGATGAGTTACAGTAGACTACTTTTAATTCACTATAAGTGTCGGAATTCTAAATTTCTCGATGTTTTTCTGCTTGAGAATAAAACAGAGACAAAATACACCAATATTTGGGATGTATTTACTAGTATGATAAGAAGTTGTTAGTGTTTGGCGAAACTGCTTAGGTGCTTAATACGGTTAATAGACAATATCAGATAAACTGAAAATATAAAAGGATTACTGCAATATGCAAACAGTTTAAGAAAACATATTAGGAGTGTGTGGATATTAGTGATGTTTGCAGTTTACGCCGTGGGTTGACTTCAGTCAGATAACTATTGAAAACTTAGTACGTAGCCATTTCGTTTTTCAGCAGTGGGCATAAATAACTTCATATTCATGTCCAATATGTGAACTACCAAATGCTGACCCGGTGGTTTAAAGGTTACGTACTGATCGTGGGTCCATCCTAGGTGATATCGTGGATACAGACTTCTAAGAAGTTGCACACTAGGATAGAAAGGCTGTCTAGAGCATTCTGGTTTTCAATGGTTACGTAACTAGGATCAGTTTATGATGTAAACTTCTTAGTCGAAAATGGTTAAATTCATTGAGTTAAGTAAACACCAAAATTACTTCTGAATATAGTTTTATAGTTCTTGGATTAAGTTATCTATTCTAATCACCATAGTAAATGAAATATTTAATGATTCTAAACATTTATTTAATATATTAATTGACATGTGGAAACTTTTGTCGCTATTTGGTTAGTAATTACTTTCCAAATAAACGAAGTAGATTATTTTAAGCATCCTTAGCCATTATAAGCAAATATGGATGGTAATTAGCTGCGGAATCCAGGACACGCGTCTCGTCCATTCTGGACTCGTCAGCTGGATGCACCTGTATGCCAGGGATTACTTTCATTCTGGTACTCGGACCCAGTACCGTTTGTAATTGATCAATCGCAGTTCTTAACAACAATGTAAAGATACAAGCAAACAATACCAAGTGAATTCTTAACCATTTCCTTGTACAAAATATATTTATATATAGAGAGTAATATAGTTAAAAACTTATCATATTATTATATCTTATTGAAAAAAATATTGTCTTTTATTCAGGTTTGTTGTTGGTCTCATGGGAAATGAAAAGGTGTGAATAAATCATCAGAAAAACCAAATGAATAAAACATTTTAAAATTCACGTGGTATTGTTTACTAGAATCTTCTCACTGATGTTTAGCACTGCAATTGATCAGTCTCTTATTGGCATGTATGCATACTGTGCACATTTCCTCGATATTGCCTCGAGTCATGAGCTTTATAAGCAAAGATGGGTGGTGGCTAGCAGTGGAATCCAGGATGTGCGTTTCGTCCACTCGGGACTCGTCAGCTGGATGTGCCTGCATCTCAAAGTTGATGTTCACTCTGGGACTCGATAGAGTTTGAAGCGAACGGTACTGGGTTCGAGTCCCAGAGTGAACATCAACTCTGAGACGCAGGTACATATAGCTGACGTGTTCCAAATAGGACGAAACGCGTGTCCTGGCTTCCACTGCTAGCCACTTTACATCTTTGCCTATAAAACTTTTTTAGTTTATATTTACATTTTATCGCAATAAAATATTTTAAAAAAGCATAATTCACCTTCAATAAACTTCTCGGTTAGGCGTTTTTTAAATTAAAGTGATCAGAAAATATTTTGAAAAGACCTGTATACAAAATATATAAACGATTCTAACACTTATACTACTTAAAATAATTTAAGTAGCACAAATTAATAAGCTGATTTTCAGACTTTCCTCATAATCACAGATCTTAGAAGTAAGGAAACGAGAAAAGAAAGATTTTGTAGGGAGTAATATCTTAACTGGACATCTTTTAGTTAGCTGAAAGCTCTTCGCTTGTTTGATATGAGTTTATGATAAAACCATCTAGCTTATATTTTAAAGTAGTTTCGAGTTTATTATGGGTAGGAAAGTTAACTTCATAACCGATCATATAATAAATTAATTCCTATACATTTGTTCTCTATCGCGTTCGCTTCAGTGATTGCCGAATACTTATAGTATTAACTGAAGGAAAAGTTTTATCAGTAGACGCAAAACTTATTTAACCAGTAACCCATAAGCTTCCCACAGTAAGATAATAATTGGTGTGAGCACCAATCTCATTTGGTGAGCTTAACCATTAGAGAAATAAAATAATAAACCAAGTAACTTTGTGGATTTAAACCTGATACATTGCTAGGACTAGTACTTTTAAGAAGTCAGACCCAGGAGACTTACGATTTGTAGTACTTTATCATCCCATTATATGGTAGGAGTGTTACGATCTTAATAAATTTATGGTATAAAGAGATCATTCGGTATCATAGGAACCAATCAATCTTAAATCATGAAACATACTTGTAGAAAATCTAACAGGAGTGCGAGATCACTGAAACCGATAAAGGTTAATAACATTTGAATGTGATGAGCTATATTGCGAACTGACAGAAAGTTTCAACCTAGTATAATGTTCACAGAGTATAAACTACAATATCTGGTTGTTCTAGGCTCAGACCTCCATGGATTCGATGGTAATACTGGTTTATAGACTTATATAAAACAGCCATTTAATGTTAAATGGTTTTCACCAGTCCTACAACTGACATTAATAGCTAGATAAAATTGGTCCGCTATCTTTTATGTACTGAAAAGTGCTAATAGACATATATTTCTCGCTATCATTAACTAAATGATTTCTTCATTGTACATGAAATAACATGTCGAAAAGTAATAATATATCTTTTCAAGTAAATATTTTATAGGTGGATACCTGCGTGGAAGTTAATAAAGTTACTGAAATTTAGCAAAATTACTGAACTAAACGTTTAACTATTATAGCCGTAATAGAGGGAGTTTGCTAAGATTAGTTTAATCAATAGATATTATCCGTCATGGACTGACCTCAGTTGGGGTACCATTAAAAATCAGGGAACAGTACAGCTATTTTATAGTAGTGTAAGACGCTTAAGTTGTAAACCCCGAATAAATTGCAAGAGATTATACCAAGGACTTTCAGGTTTCACAGCGAGCGCTTACCATTAAACCACAGATACGCACTAGCAACTTAAATCAGTTTATGCCCATGATCCAATATTGATGCTGACCACTATTTGATTCTCTCCACCGGTTATGGCTTTCCGCTAAAAATTCAGGAATTTATCTTGAAGTAAGTCACTAATAAGTATACGATTATACTTTTGAAGGAGAGGTTTATTTGACATCAGTTTAACTAGTAGGTGGTATTTGTTATGCGTGGGTCAATGTTGAAAAAACCCACAATAGGACGAAACAGCCCTCAGATGCTCTCTAATTTTAATGGTACGTTAATCGAAATCAATCCGTAACCTATATTTCCTCCCAGAAAACGGAACTGTTAAATGTTCATTTATAAACGAATAGAAATCTAATGAGTATAAATTATTACTAATCTTCAATTATAAGTAGTATTCAAGTGGATTTACACAAATCACAGCAATTTTAAGTTCTAAGAGTATTTATTTATTTGAACACATAAATATTGGTACAGAGGGGCGACAAATGTATATGCGCCAAACAAGTCACTTGATTTGTGTGAGAGCTAAAGTACTGCCTGGATCCTCAAACCGAAGCAGGCGGTTTTCTTGGGGAGCCACAACCGAAGCCTGCAACCTAAAGGTCTAATCAACAAGGTAGTTGAGCAACGTCAGGAGATGCAGTCCCATGATAGCTGGTCACCAACAATCGGTTCATACGTCATTTGTTCCTTCAGGATACTGGAGCCCATGCGCATCATTGGTTTGGAATCAGGGTTTTACGACTCCCCTAGGTAGATCCTCCGTATCCATCAACCCGGTTGAAATGCCGGACATTCGCTTTCCGTCCTCTCAATTTCGTAAACAATACCTCCTCCGCTAGAAGGCAGTGAGTAAGACTTTCGTGGCAGCGGTTGTACACGCGTGGCCACGTGAGACCATTTCAATAGGAAGAGCTGACTCTCCCCACCCTCGGCCGTACCAGGGCATTTGGAGGAAGTATCATTTATAAACAATTTAAATTAGCTATAGATTCCCAATAAACAATCTCTGAAATGGTCTGATCACAAGATTTTAATATAATGGTAATTTTTCAGCGATTAAAATCTCTGAATTACATAAGATTTTCAGTTAATCACAATTAACTAATAATTTAGTGTTTGACTAAATCGGAGGTTAGGATAAGAGTATCTATTTCGTAATTCAAAATAGTCCTATTATCGTTCAATAATTTGAAGTAAATACAACACATCTCATTCATCCTGACTATTTATAAATATAGATTCGTTGTATTATTATTTGGTAGATGGAATTTATCTTTTTCCTCTATATTGATCGTTTGGCAGGATGTATTTACTAGGGAGGTCATGTAATAAATGATTTCACAGTCAGGTTCTAATATAATCAAACCGCCAATACTAGTAGAGTATGATATAATATTGTCATACCTCAGAAAACCAGATAAATGAATCGCCTGAACAATTAATTTAGTTTTTTTATTATTTAATTTAGCCTGCTTCTTTCTTTTTTTTAAAAACAAACTACCAATATTCATGTTTATCTTTCTATTAAGTAGACAGATCTTTATGCGTTTAAAAAAGAGCACAAATTGATCAGTGAACAGTAATGCATGTCATGCCTATTTATTCAATTAGCCAATATCTTGATCCTACAAGAGATCAATTGTAAATCAAATAGCTTGTTGATAGTTTATCACTGTAAAATAGAATGATAGAAACTACAGTTCCAAGGAGAAAACTAGTTCCTTCAAGATTTTATAAGGGCCTAGTTGGTAAATGTTAAAACGAAGCTGAAGCCTTGAGTTCCCTATCGATTGACATTACCCATTTACCACATATAAAAAGACAATAAAATACTGACACCATTAATAATTATATAATCTCAAAACCATATCCCCTGAAGCATTATTACTAAATAGTTTTAAATAAGTCAAACCAGTATTTCAAAGTATATAGGAGAAAAGGGATTATACAAACAGATATATATATATATATATATATATATATATATATATATATATATATATATCACAAAAGAATAAGACAGAGGGAGACAGACAAAGAAGGAGATTTATCACAGATAATGCATTATATCACAAGTATAAAACAAACAGTGGTAATTAACTGATCAAAATAAGTTGTACTTGTATTCTCCATCCTCTCAAACAGGACGATGATGATGGGATTACAGTATAGACATTGTCAAAAAACAATATTGATCTTCTTTTCTCATATTAAATATTCATAAAGTCTTCTTGACCAACACTGTAAAATTCAATGAATAATGAACCTTTCATTTTTTGAAATCGTTCAGCTTTTGTATCTCTTCCATAGAGTGCTACTTCTTGTTGACAACGATTGGAAATTTCCGCTTCTGTAAAACTATGCCGTCCAAGAAATACATCAAATCCTAATGCATGTTTGTCCATTATCTATAATAATAATAATAATAATAGTTATGCTGATAATATAAAGGTATGAGATGAACAAGTGGAAAAAAGTGCTAATTATGCTTTCATTTTCCCCCTTGATTTCCTTCTCATTCAGTGTCTTTTTGTGTACTCTATCATACTACTAACTAATATTCAGTAATTAATGTCATTGTAGATAACTTATGAGGAAACAACACGCTAAATAGTGATCTTTCTTAGTATATATGAATCTGTGACATTTATTCCACTTATGATAGTAATTATGCGCTTTTAGCAAAACTTGTTTTTGTTCCTTATGTGTTTATTTAACATTTTGTTTGTCTTAACACACCATTATGTCTATTAATCGTATAAACCATTCAAGCGCGTTTATGAAAAGTTTACGACTTCTCAGTGTACAAATTACAATCACAGATATCGTAGTGGCTGGTAATATGCAATGAAAAGAATGAACATTATTCAGATGTCGATTCCTGAAGTCTTAACTGGCAATCACTCAATATTTATCGTCAGGATCGATCACGAAATCAGAAAAGAAAATTTGCTGAAATACTTTGTGCTGAAAATTCTATATTGTAACAGAAATATAAGATTGAAATAAAGCCATTAATAACAATAATAATTTTGTTCTTTGAGCTGGATGGTTTGGTCATGGTGACACCATCGTTCTTCTCAACAACATCATAAGCACAAACTTCGGATAGAAGTGAAGTATGCGAATTTCTCTATATATGACTAACAGCTTGTTCTGTCGACATCGGTCGGTGTTGACCTTTAACCTATCATTGTTTGCTTCTTTATTTTGATCATGACTCCCATCAATTTGGTTCTTGGTCCTATATCTATCCATAATTTTTCTGATTAGTTGATAGATTGGATCGAATATGATGTATTTGTTAATTGCTGATTGACCTGAAACCCAAGTTTCTAAAAGTTCTCTAGAGTTCTTAGCATTTTCTCCATCCAGTTTAATGTTTGTTTGCCCATATGTAATGGTATAAGCGAAGATATATCATAATGTTTGAGTATTTTTTCATTCTTAACGCTTTCCAAATTTTGTGTTCTTGCTTTTCATTATTGCTGTACTAACATATCTACTGGCTGTTACATAGCTTACTATATGTTCATGTAAATAATCACTGTGTAACAAATGAAGAAAATATTTATTCTTTGATAGTACATTGACGCGTGTAAATACCTCACGAGCTGAAGTTTGTAAAATGCATTATTCATAATGGTGCTGCAATTCTAGACAAACTTTGTGTTAGATCTATCGAAGCGTCTAAGTCACCCGATTGAGATACGCGCAAAACCGAAGTTTCCAAAACAACGATTTGTCTACAATAGTGGTTATTTATTGAATAATACACAAAATTTAGTTACAGACGTCAACTTGTGAGGTGTCTGAGGCATTTAGACGCGTCCTTCAAGTATTAAATAAAAATGCTTCCTGTACCATTAACATAAAGAATAATTACAACATACGACAGTACAAAGGACAGCTGATAGCTGTCTAAATTTGATAACAGTTTATGAACAACCGAAACCCGAACCAAGGGCAAAACAATATGGAGACTGTTGCGTTTAAACAAATGCACAAAACTATGGATAACCGCTACAGTGATTAGGGTACAGTAATTATAATGATAAATACAATGATAAGTACAATCAACGTTACAAATATATGTGAACATTTCACAACATTACACTTCAACTTGCGTTACATGTGTAAAATTTGTTGGGAATACAACTGCTTACTGAATGTAAATAAGTAGTATAAAACAATTTACGAAGAAGTGGAAAGGGAGCGAGTAGAAACAATGTAAGACAAACTTAACACTTCATGTGTTGATTTTTACCCGTTGTTCAATCGTTTGGTGAGAAGCATTAATCAAAATTAACAGAAGACATAAATTGGAAAATGAAAAAAATGCAACAGCTACTCAACTAGTAACCATAAATAGTAGAGGCAGTGAACAAGTCAACTTATTAGTTAAACCACCGGTCCAAACCCCGCTGCTCTATCTACCTAGTTTGGGCAGCCAGTTAGTGGTATCACTAGGTATTATACACAAACGATTTAAGTCAAAGTACACCACACAAACTTGTGATTGATAAATAATTCACAACAAGACACCCAATATAAGATTAAAGAAACATGCCTAGTTTTACTGAGATTTGTAATATCTTAAAAAGCTTTAATTAGATATTAAATGGATATAAACTATAGGATTAAGGGAACTGTGTTAGTAAATTTAGTAAAAAAAAATAGGAGGGAAAGAGTGAAATTTATAAATTTTATTATCTTCAAAGTTACTTTTCCTCAAAGGTGAAATTGAGGAATTTCAATAGTTTCTTTTTGAAATTGATCTACAGTCATGTCTTATCAGGTTAATTGATTATTGTTCTGTTGACTACTTTTGTAATGGTTAGCAGTAAAATAACTTACCAGTGTTTTTCATTCAGTTTACAAGTAAGATGATATTTCGCATTATTATCAGAAGGGTTTTGTGGAGATTTTAGAAACTTCATTGATTGAAATCATGAGTCAATTGAAGCTAGACCACCATGGAAAAACTGGAAGCAGTGGACGGCCGTTTCATCCTGGTATGGGACTCCTCATCTGCTCACTAGTGAATGACTTCAAGAGATACTTTTGGAGTTCTAGTGAGAAGCCGTTACTAGTGAAGTTCAACCAGATCTGTTGTGAGATATCAACTCACTGATGACAATGGTGTACGGTGGCGCAACTTCGTGGATTGGTGGAAGTTAGACATTCACACCGATGGATGGCGGCTGAGTGGTCTAGTTAGTTAAGCACCTGGCGCGAGACCGGTAGGTCCTGGGTCCGAGCCCTGCGGGCTCGTGGGTGCGCATTGCTGGGGAGTTTCGTACTAGGGCGTAAAGGGCCGTCCAGTGCTTCCAGGTTTCCCGTGTGGTCTAGCTTCAATTGACTCATGATTTAAACCCGTGAAATTTCGCATTATGTTTAAACTTAACAGTAACTATGAACATGACAATAACCTTTTATCGATTTGTTGAGGTATAATTTAGAAAGATATCAATAAAATTTATTATTTCGGTTTACGCCTTAGCATTCAATTTTCAGTCATTCAGTTACAGGTTTAAACTCATCTAACACACATTGGGTTTGGGATGTTCAATTAGTAAAAGTACTCTTCACATTAAAATTAAGTTTAAAGTTAAGTAGATTAATTTGTATCTAATGAATGAATGAATAAATTTTTGAATTGACCTTCTAAATATACAATCAAAGTACCAGATTTAATAAATTCACTTATACATTCATATTATTCAGAGTGAAGTTAACAAATGAGACGTTGAATGACATGGCTCAAAATCGTTTGCGATGGCACAGGTGAATCCACTTTTTGTGTTCTCCCAAATTCTAATCTGAGTTTTTTATGTCTCTTTTCTTTTTCTCTTTCCAAATTTATTTTACTAGACTATACTCCTTGCATAACATCTTCAAACCTTAATGTTTCCGATTACTACTTATACTCTTACTACTTCTACCACTATGGGATTTGAATCGACAATTGTATCTCTGTGCTAATGTGGTTTGGCAACTCGAACTGATGTACGTACGTACGTACGAAGTTCTACGTTGTTGACTGACCAATTAAAAAGAAAAAAAAAACTTTGAAGCAAAGAATAAGGCATTCAAGATTAAACTTTTCTAACCCTTCATTTTTCAAGTTAAAAAATAATATTAGTAAAAATGATGGGAAGAACTTCATTGACAAAGGTTAAACTCTTATTACAATAACATTACTAACAATACAATGGTAAACATTCACTAAATGATAATTTTAAAACTGGAATAGGTATTCATTCATTGTTAATTTAATAAAATGCTGAATATTAAACTGTACCTTAAACTGTCAAATTAAAAATTGAAAGTTTTATCATGAGTTTAAACAAATAACCATTAAAAAGAAATTATTAGATTAGTTCTAAAAGTACACTTCCACTGACAGGTATATATGTGCATAAATATGCACTTTTGTAAAAGTACTATAACAACAATAACTACTACTACTACTCGTTAGACTAGCTTCTCAAACTTCTATTCTTTTTACTAATGTCAAAGTAAATATATTGAACTAATTAAAAGACAACTCGTTAGGTTAGTTGGAATACACTGCATGTGACGGTTACAAGTATATATATATATATATATATATATATATATATATATATATATATATATATATATATATATATATATATATATATATATATATATATATAGATCCAAAACGCTCTGGTATGGACGAGGGTGGGAGAGTTCTCTCTCCCTCTTGAAATGTTCTCCGATGGATACATGTATATACCCACTGTCAAGGAAGTCCTACTTACTTGGTGTTATTTATGAAATTGAGAGGACAAAAAGCGAATATCCAGCGCTTAAACAGGGTTGATGAGTAATTAGTATCTAACTTGACCACAAACTAATGTCAATGGTGAACATAAGGTCCAGGATCCTGAGGGAATAAATAACGTATGAACCTATTGTTGGTCATCGGCTACCATTGGACCACATCTCCTGACGTTACTCCACTGCCTTGTGGATTAAATCTATAGGTCAAAAGCTCGGGGAATGGCTCCTTAAGAAAACCACCTACTGCAGCCTAGACATTCGGGTAGTATATCAGTCCACACACAAATTGAATGATTCGTGTGGAGCATATATATTTTGGTGACTCTTTGTACTAATGTTTATGTGTTTAAATAAATAAAATAATAATAAGACAGATATACAAACTGATATAAGTTGAAGAGCCACTGAAAACCAAAGGAGAATAAAACACGTATTTCATTCAATTTACAAGATCTTTATCAATGTGCATACATACATATAACTACGCGGAATTAAGTCCAGAGCTTTCAAGTATCACCTAGATTGACAATACCTATTAGACCACTAGCTAATGGGTTTAAATCTAATGGTTATTATTATCATTATTACAATTATTCTTACTTGTATTTCAATTGGTTTATTTAATTTACGACGATAAAATATAAAATATTCATTCCAGACAGGATTATTATTACTTTGTGAAATGGTAGTTTGTACAGTATCATATTCACATTTAATAATACAATATGGTGATGGAGGATTTTTACCATCAGGCCATAGAAGATTCGATGCACTATGAACATGTAAACGTACAGCTCCTTTTGGTTTACCAGTGAAAAAATCTAAAAAACCATTCTGTGGAATATCTAAAGTAAATTCCCTGAAGTAAAATAATAATAAAAAAAGATATATACATAGTGTATCATATATATATGAACATGATACATTTAATAACAAGAAAAGTATTCAGGTAAAGTTTTGTTCTCTGAGCTGGATGGTTTGGTTGTGGAGCTTTCATTGTTCTTCTGAACAACATCGTCAGCACAGACTTCAGATAGAAAACAATGAATGCTCCACGACCAAATCATCTAGCTCATAGAAAAAAACTCTAACCAAATCATCCACCTGAGCTACAAATCTTCTCTACCAACTCAAGAAACGTATTGTAGTTATTTAAGATCTTTAAAGACGGACGATATTCGCAGGTTACTGATAGCCGATCATAGACATCTTTGAAGTAAACGTGTGTCAAAACTATTGAGTGAGTGCTATTGAGGTTAGATGTACGATACTAGGAAAATATGACAAACTGATTATGAGAAAGACTATTTTTATAATTCAGCGGCGTGAGCTTAACGAAAAGTAAAAGGCGACTCTAACTAACTGGAGAATAGTAATTTACTCTAATATTATAAAACTTAGCCATATTAAGCACAATAAATAATCGATATCCCAAGTGAAAGATTGTATACACAATTTCGAATCATATCATGTACAAGATAGTGAGAAGTAGAAGATTTGAACCTACAACTTACTGGTTGAAAGTCAAATGCTATTTAATAGATTACTACAAGTGGATTGCATAGAAAATAGTGAGAAGCAGTGACCACGGAGTCCAACCGGGTCTGTTGTGAGATAGTAACTCACTGAAAACAATGGTGGAAGGTGGCTCAATTTCGTGGATTGGCTGAAGTTAGACATTAACACCGTTGTATAACGGCTCAGTGGTTTAGAGATTAAGTGCTAGCACGCGAGACCGATAGGTCCTGGGTCCGAATTCCGCGAGCGGGATCGTGGATGTGCACTGCTGAGTCCCATACTAGGACGAAATGGCTATCCAGTGCTTCCAGGTTTTCCATGGTGGTTAAGCTTTAATTGACCCATCAACCCTTTCTAATAATAGTCAGTTCGTTAGTTAATGATAGTGCAGCACTTGAAACGAAAATATACACCAGCCAAATGTATCATTCAAAATGAGCAAATACCAACGTAGAATGACCAGCATCAATTAAAATTAACTTCGATAATTACAAACACGTAAAAACAGTACATAATCACAATTTTAAATATCTCTACCCTACAAAAGAGCCACTCAAAATTCTACCGCTTTTCATGTGAACTGGACATCTGAATAGAAAAAAACTTCACCAAACAGATATAATAAAACTTAGAGGACTATATACAGAATTAACAAAAACAAAACACACAGTGAAAATGGGAAAAAGAAATCACCTGCTTTCTGAACGTTTTGGTAAATATAATCTTAATAAATAAGCAGCTGTCGATAATGGTTGTTCCAAGAATGGAACTACTAAATATCGACCAACAGTTAAACGTGCACGAATAAGACAAACTCGATATGGTCTAGATGGTTCCACGTGAATTACTTGACAGAATGCTAAAGTATGCGATTTTACAGGACGATTATTTTCAATCTAGAAAAAATATAAAGTTAATAGATACATCAATCAGTATACAAAATTACCAACATGATAAGTGTGGATATAATTTAAAATTTATATGAACAACTAAAGAAAAACAATAATTATTCAAGATTATCAATTCAGTTAAATATTTTCGATGTTTTTGTAGATCTTAGTCAATAAATTAAAAACAGTTCTCTCAAGTAAACAATTATCAGAAACCGTGTTACATTACACTACACTTATTTGAATCTACACATTTCCTATATATTAACACTACATCAGTAATCTGAAACTTGTTTATTAAAACTGTATTATTTATCATGAATGCACACTAGTGAAGAGTCTCACATTAGGACAAAACGGCCGTCCAGTGCTTCTAGGGTTTCCATGGTGATCTAGCTTCAATTGACTCATGATCTCAACCATTGAAATTATAAGTAATAAGCTTAATTATTGTATGATTTCTTTCTTATTTTTCATTGGTTAAATGTAAACTAACTGTTCGCATATTGGTTAATCCATAATGTATCCATCAGGCTACATTGAAATGGTCATTGTTCTACCTGTTTATTTTGAGAGTTGACTATTGTTGCTAAGTTAATTACCTTGAATGTGTGCTATTGACCTAAGCAATTTATTATTTATTGCGGAACCATATATATTATCGAGAAGTTAAGGTAATCTTTTGACTTTAGTCGACCTTAGGTGAACTATTTTCGTGTATCTAACATATAGATTTTGACTAAATATACTAGTGGTTATTGAGAAAAAAGATCAAATGAACTGAAATATAGATATTAAGATATGAAAAAGTACTTTGTATAAGATGATAAAACAAAAGATTAAAGTGCTTGATAGGATATTTGTTTCGTCCTCTCTGGTTTGGAACTCGGTTAGAAGTGTGCATTAATGACCCGGCCAAGGATCCAATTTATTAATTTCAAGCTTTGTGATAAACGCTTGATTTTCAGATCACTAGACTGGAATTTATTTATTCAAAACTCTAAACTTAGTAAGCAATACGGATGGTTTGTGAGGATCAAACGGAAAAAAACATAGTTGTTTCCAAATGAACAGAAAAAAGGTATTATTTGTGTAAATCAATAAACTAATGTAAAAATATAAGGAGATTGAAATTATAAACTCTGAAATGAATTTCAGTTGTGAAACCATAAGGTAGGATCGTTTGACACAAATCTAGTTCACACATACATCAGAAATAACCTCGGTTATACTTAAAAGTTTGGTTATTCAATAATATATGTCTAGAAGTGGAAAGAGGACCAATAGGTCTCACATTAAACTCCACTCCATTTCATTCTACTTGAGTAATTGAGTAGTATCTTTAGACTTTGTACAAAAATATGTGACTCAAAGCTTAGCACATAAACCCGTCCATAAGAAAATAAAATTTTCACTATGAAACCTGAAGGCTCCGAGTTCAAGCGCTGGTGAGTGATCATGGGTAAACACCACTGAGCATTCTCAAGATAAAATAATTTTCCAGCCCCCTTTACCTTTGAATGATTTCCCAGGTTTGGACCTGATAAATAATGTTGAATGTTAAATACAATGGTAATTTACTAAACATATAAACATTACATAGTACTGAAGTGAATTAACAATCAAAATTTAAAAAATAATCATATTGATTTTGAACAAAGATTTCTTACCTTGAATAGACCTAAACCAATAGACAATGGACTTAAATCAGGTTCTATGACCATAGTTAGTGGATCACGATTATATTTACGTACAAGAGATAGTAGAACTTCATCGGAATCATTCATTATATCGAAATAATACTGAAAATAATTTGAAAATTGGTATTTAAAGGTATGATTAACTTGAAGAAAATCTTTAAAACAACTTATTCAAGATTCGAAGTATTGTACTAGTGTCTTCATAGTTGAATATTTAGTGACAATTGTTAAGAAAAGTAGGATATGACTTTATTAGAGCTCATATTATATTATCTGTGAACAAAGAGTCGGCAGTTACAGATAGAATAGTCCTTAAGTAACAACTTAACAAATCTAGCAGAAATCTCATGAAGAAAAAAGAAACAAAAGATGTTCCTTGAAGGTTGAGGCAACCACTAGTGGACTGTTAAAAATTATGAAACTATGAAACAAGGGTTCCTGTTAACTGTTAAAATGATAAACATGATATATTACTGTAGAAGGGTTTCCATGAGATTAAAAATATCCACATATTAAACTGTTTCAACTCTAAGAAAATTTAAACCAGAATTTATCAAATGAAGTAAGTGGTATAAGAAGTCAGTAAGCAAACGTTGAGTCAGTCAGTCAGTTACAACATAGGACCATCGGTTCAAATTGCCATACCTCATTAGCACAAGATGAACACCGGATTCATAGAAGCAGTTTATTCAATGGTGGTAATATATAAAAGAGAGATTGCATAGAAGGATATAGTACAGGAAGAAAGAATTGGTTGGTAGAAAGAAAGGTATAAAGTAAGTTTAATCTCATAGTTTAAGGGAACACAAAGAGTGTATAACAACGACGCCATTGTAATCGATTCTGAGCCATGTCGCCAAGTCTCCAACCATTGATTACGATAGCGGCGCGGAACCCAGCAAAGTAGTCTGCATCTACCAACATGGCTCAGACCAGAAGTTAGTGACTTCAAGGACTGATGTCACGTTTCGCTTTGGTTGCCCCTAACTTTCCTCCGACCATCCCCAACACTAGTCAGCATTGCGCGTCGTGGTAATCGGTTTTCAGGCATACGTAACACGTGGCTCAACCATCTCAGTCGATGAAGGTTGACAACCTCATCAACTGATTTACCATCATTCCCTAATACCCTGCGTCAAATGTCGAATAATTGATCAATGTTACTACAGCAAGTCAATATAATACAACAATGTAAACTCATTAAGTCAATGCTTTTTGTTTCAATTGTAGAGTAAAATACAGTTTCAGTACTGGATTTAGAAGGTTCAAATCCTGCTCCACTGATTTCTGTTTCTCTAATTGGGCTAGTATCATTAACCTTTATACACAAAAGATGTAACTTTGTACTTCGAAAACAAATGACATAAAATAGAATAATACAACAGTATTACTTCCACAATGACTATAAATACGTATGATACATTTACGATACATGTTTTACACAATCTCCTTACAGTATGAATTAACGAGAAAAGAAAGTCTATCAGCTAGTCGATTATTATCCAATCGACGTAAAGTATCAATACATGTAATAACGGAAAATATTTGTAGCTCAGGATGACGATGTTGGAGGTGTTTTGTTCTCTGAACTAGATGGCTTACTAGTGAAGCTTCCATTGTCTTTCTAGGCAACACTACATTCAAAACATAATCCAACTAATAGATTGTTCTGTCAATATGGAATATGAATGGCTTTTGTTCATGTTAAAATCGATCCAACCTATCAGCCAGTCAGAAAAGGGGTAAATCAATGCAAGGTCAAAGGTTAGTTAAAACGAGAAGAGAAGGGAAACACCGTCAGTTGATTATGGCTCACTTATTATTGAATTGTGCGCTGATGACGTTATCTCGAATGATAATCAAAGCTTCAAGAATAAACCAATAAGTTCAGAGAACAAAACAATTCTAAAAAATAAATATTTTGATACTAACTTAATACTGTCCATTTCTTTTTACATAGTATTTTGTAGTGTACCGAAGTGCAGTGAGTCATATATCTAGTCGTGTACTTGTTCACTATGTTTAAATCCGGATATAGAGTTTTCTACTACAGTCTTTCTCATTCCCCCCTCCATGGACATCGGGATAAGGAAGTAACTTGTCATTTAGACAGTGTCCACGTAGCCAATTACTAGTTAACAAGTAGGATAGTTCTGTCTACAAAGTCAAATTACCAACAACCAAACTCATATATTAAAGTCTCAAGGTTATGTATCAAGTAACCTAGCATATCAAGCACATCGACTAGTTTCGAGATAAATCTCTCTAAATATCTAACTAGTTAGTATAATCAGTTTATAACCAATGGTTACGACAATTGTGCGAGTCCGAACCATGCAGTTTGCATCTACCAACATAGTTCACTTCAACAGTTAACAAATTCATGAACTGATAAATCTGTAAGTATAAACTTATTATTGAATTAATGATGCAATCAATTGAGAGAGTGAATTATCAACTTTAAACAATTAATAAATAGTATTCAGTTCAGATAAGTGAAATATTTCTTAAATAATAAATAAAATGTTCTCTTTTAATCAACTTACTTGAGGATTATGTAGAAATGTATTACGATATTGTAAATTGCCACCAGTTTGATGACCACACCAAGCACCATGATGTTCACATAAACGCCATGTTATATGTCCAGGTAAACTAACAAAACTAGTATCGGGAAAACGACATATTAACACACCAGACATATGTTGTAGTATAAATTCAAGTGGTATCCAAAATTCAGTTTCTGAATCAAAAGTTAAACCTAGTCGTTTTCGTGCCTCTAAATTTATTTCTTCCCATTCCTAGAAAAAAAATTATACACAAATAAATGTATTTATGGTAAATAAAATTATTTAATTGAATATCGGACTCATATTATTGATTAGTACTAGAGATGCACATATTTTGGTATATGAGTTAATGGTACTACTTAAATCTTCAAAATTAAAGTAGGCATGGGTGGAGTTTAGATTTGCTAATGAATGGTACAACAATTCAGTGTTTTAATCAATAAGCCGCCATTATTACAAAGATAGAAAATTTGTGTCAACATATAACACAACTGAACATTTAACTAGTGTTAAATTAAGACGATACTACAATATGTGTTGTTATTGCTGTTATTTTGAAGTGGTCTTAAAAAAAGCAAACTACAATGTACCATCAATTTTATACTGGTTATGTAAACTTTTATATGAAATTTGAAAATAAACTTATTATTTAGGTCGATACCTAAAAAAGAAGTAATCATTAATATCTAGCTCAATAATGACAATCGTGACCCCAAACAACCCTGTATATATATGATCTAAAGAAATTGACTCTATCTAGAGAAAACTGGATGAAATGAGCTCCGAACTAACTCCTGTCTGGATAGGAAGTGAAGTAGTCGAACGCGTTGACAACTTCACTTATCTTGGATGTCTGACCAGCCCTAATGGGTTGGTGTATGACGAAATCTCAGAACGGATTCAGAAAGCTCGTTTGGCTTTTGCCAACTTATGTCACCTATGGCGAAGGCGAGATATCCGTCTATCAATTAAGGGACGAGTATACTGCGCGAAAGTTCGTTTTGTTCTAGTTTACGGCTGCGAAACGTGGCCATTAACAGTAGAAGATGCTCGTAAGCTACTAGTATTTGACCACAGATGCCTTAGAGATATTGCTGGAATCTGCTGGGATCACCAGGTAATAATAGTAAGGTTAGATGCAAGGTGTTAGGGAATGATGGTAAATCAGTTGATGAGGTTGTCAATCTTCATCGACTGAGATGATTGGGCCACGTGTTACGTATGCCTGAAAACCGATTACCACGACGCGCAATGCTAGGGGCAGCGAAAGCAAAACGTGGCATTAGTCCTTGAAGTCACTAACGTCTGGTCTGAGCCATGTTGGTAGATGCAGACTACTTTGCTGGGTTCTGCACCACTATCGTAATCAGTGGTTGGAGACTCTGAATGACATGGCTTAGAATCGATCACAATGGCGCCGTTGTTATACACTCTTTGTTTTCCCTTAAACTATGAAATTAAAATCGCTTCATATCTTTCTTTCTGTTAACTAATTCTTTATCTCTGTATCATATTCTTATATAAAATCTTTTTGCTACATTGAATTAACTGCTTCTATGAATCCGGTGTTCATCTTGTGCTAATGAGGTATGGCAAATTGGACCGATGCAATATGTGCCTATTCCTACGTTGTAACTGACTGATTCACTAAATTCTGTGTGAAAATCTCTGCTAATAAACTATTACTAACACATCATAACGATTTTGTATCAACAATCGATTAGATCTTAATAGTTAAATTGTGCTCAAATTATATATCACAATCGTAACACAACCAATATTTCATTAGGAATTCATTTCATTCAATAATAAAGAATGATAGATATTTCTATCTTCTTCGTTGACTAAAGATATTATTCAAGTAATTGTGTTAAATAATTAAATTGCATAACAATCTAATTCTTCTTTAATAGTTTATTTTACGAGCATGATCGTCAAGTAACATTACATTTCTACTAAATCAAGATATATGTAACTTGAAATGACTTAACGGGAATATTCTAGTCTTAGAAGACCGAACTGTTCATCAGTTAGGATCTCGTAAGGAATCTAGAATGTGCAACATAAAAATCCTCTAACTAGTAAAACGTTTTTACGACGATATTATTTAGTAAACACTTTATGAGAAACAAACGTATAATTGAAGTAGTTACAAACTGAAACGAAACATTGATCGACCACATACAATTCCGGTCTTATATAATGCAGGAATTTATCAATACAAACAGGATTTGTGGGTTGCATCCAGCACACACAGATCTGTGTTGGGGTATCATTGGAAACCAGGAAATACTGAATGGCTATTTCGTCCTAGCATTGGGGTCTTCAGAAGTGAACACTCCTGAGCCCACAAGGGATCTGACATAGAACCGTTAGGTCCCATACAGAAAGCCAAACCGCCAGAAACACTGGAGGTTAGATCCGATGGTATTATTAAAACCTCAGTACAACATTTATAGGTGGAATCCAAAAACAGAATGACCCTGCTTTGGACATGAAAATCAACATAGTGAATTGAATCGGAGAGTAGGAACCTTTTTAAAGTAACAGAAGGACTTTAGGTTAATTGCTTCAATCCAAATCAATGAAGTGACACGAAATACTCAGATATTTATTAATTTTCTAGCTATGATGCATTCTTTGTTCGATTTAGCTTGCAGTACCACATCATTCAGGGATGGTTTAGTAGTTAAAGCGTTTGGCTTTTAGCCACTCAGTTATAGGTTTGAACCCCATTCCAAAAACCTAGGTTTACACAAGCGTTTAGTTATAGAAAATTGGCGTATGACTATTAGTTTGTAACTGGTAAATTGTTACATAAAAATATACCAATCAACATATATACCTAAAAGGTTTGTAAATATGAATAAACTTATCAAGCCAGAAGTTTGCTAAGAGAAAGTGTTCACAACACACATCAGTAAAAGGTGTATGAAAGGCATCAAAATATACAATTGCGATGACTATCCATCTATGTTTGTATACATCTGTTATTTGGCTAAAGCATGCTGTATTTGTTGTTAGAAGAAACTAACAAATGGTAACTTAGTGAAAAGCTTTATTGAAATAAATCCAAGGTTCAGAAGATAAGTTATAAAAAAATTAACTTAACATTACACACAGCCAATCGTTATACCGAAAAAAAAAAACTAATCAAAATTGATGAATCAGAACGAAATAGTGAACGTACACTAGATGATGAACTGTAAGCTCCTTTCCATTCACCTTGACCAGAACCACTATCGATTACACTCAAAGGACAACGTAAACGCATTAAACGAGCTTGTATAGGACAATCACCAGCACGTCTAAACATATCTTTAAATGCACCAAAAACGCTAAGATCTTTCGGAACTCCACAAACTCTTGTTAATAAATAGCCATAATTTAGATAAAGTCCAGATTCTTTATTAAGCACATGATCATGAAGATTAGGAGCTCCGAAGATATGAGGCGATGTTTCAGAATCACCATCCTGTTGTTCACTGTCTTCCTATAGAAAAACAACACCGGAAAATAATTCAAACATGTTTAAATCACATTGAAATAATGAGCCGATCTAAGCTAGACCACCATTGAAAACCTAGAAGCACTGGACAGCCGTTTCGTCCTAGTATGGGACTCCACGGTAGTGCGGGATTATTGATGCACACCACTAAGGAGTCCCGTGCTAGGACGGAATGCCCGTCTAGTGCTTCCACGTTTTCATAGATAGTCTAACTTAGATCGGTTCATGAGCTCAATGAAATCCAACAATTTCCGCCACCCATACCGAAAATGATTAAACTAGCTGGAAGATGCTCGGAAAGCGGAAATGCGGGACAGGAATTGGAGTTGTGTCATTTCTACTCCTTTAATCTTCTAAGTTATGATAGTCGTCACTTGTTCAATGATTGTAATGTATGTTACTGGTTCTGAAGATTTACATTTTACCGTTGTTGTGTTTGTAGACTGAAATAAGTATTCTCTTTTGATAAATGGTCTCTTTAAGCATGAATATCACAGTATTGCCTAATTCTACATTCAACTTGTAGAATTAGGCAATACTGTGATATTCGTGCTTAAAGAGACCATTTATCAAAAGAGAGTACTTAGTTCAGTCTAGATTTAATCCCAAATTCGATTAATACCCACTCCCGACCGTAGCTGCTACCTTGACGCGGTGGTGGGGCTTGCCTATCGTGATGACCAAACCGAGCTATATTGGCTGGAAAATATGTTCCTGTAGGTTCTACCATGCCAGGCAGGTCGATTGGGGAACGGTAAGACTAAAAGCAGCAACTCAAGGTCTGAGGGCGAAGTCGTACTGCTGACTGTAGAGGAGTGTGACAGCAGTAAGGTGTTTCCCTCGGACAACCAGCATCTACAGCGATGCTGCCTTCTCACAAGGAAGGAAGGGGTTAGAAAAGGTCGACCCTAAAATTGTCACACCTCACTTTAAATCACGTCCTTTTTTTCACCTCGCACCGCTAGGGCGAACGATTCAAGTAAGCGGAACGTTATTCCTCGTCTCCTGAAACCACGCTCTAAACTACACGTAGGAGCTTTTAACGTACGAACACTTTGCCAAATAGGACAACAGGCTTCCTTAGCTGGGACTTTAGAATCTCGCGCCATCGATGTGTGCTGCGTCTCCGAAACGCGCATACAGGATCCGAGTAGCGTCATTCATTTGACCTCACCATGCCAAAATAAAGAACCGACTCGATTTACGCTTCGTGTATCTGGAAGCCCTGATTCTGCTTCCCGTGGCCTCGCCGGCGTAGGTATAGCATTGAGTCCTAGGGCAGAACTAGCTCTCTTAGAGTGGATCCCAGTAGACAGTCGTTTGTGCGCTGTCCGACTGAACGGAACAGTAAGAATCCGGAAAGATAGGGACACTCGTCGTTGCCTCTTCGTCGTCTCTGCCTATTCTCCCACTGACTGCAGCTCAGATGATGTAAAAGATGAGTTTTACAGAAAGCTTTCGGACCTTCTCCGAAAAGCTAGGCGCTCGGATGTAGTAATAGTGGCCGGTGACTTTAATGCTCAAGTAGGTAAACTAAGCGATAGGGAAAGACACCTAGGTGGATCTTATGGTGTCGTGGCTCAAAGAACAGATAATGGCGACCGTCTGTTGCAGCTATGCTCAGATAACCGCCTGTTCCTTGCAAATACTAACTTTAAGCATAAGGAAAAACATCTTTTAACATGGCGACCCCCTAATTCGTCCCAACGTTGGACCCAAATAGATCACATCGCTATCAGCCACCGATGGAGGGGCTCGATAGAAGACTGTCGCTCATTCTGGAGCACATGCCTAGATTCAGATCATGCTCTAGTGCGAGCGCGTATTTGCTTGCGTCTTACTGGACGTAGGAAAGACGCTGCAAGGAAACCTCTTAGGGCCTACTTAATGATAGTCAAGCTAAGAGTATATTTCAGGAACAACTAGGAAAACAGTTAGGCAGCCATGTATGTGATGCCCACCCCGATGCAGCATGGAATGATATCCGAAAAGCTGTGGAAACAGCAGTGATATCTGCTAGTAAGGTAAACCGGAAGGTTAGGGAGCAACACTGGATCTCAGCAGCATCTATCTCATTCCACCTGGCTCTGAACATAATGAAGAGCGGAGTCAGCTTAAGCGCAAGCTGACAAGAAGTCTACGCAATGATCGCGAACAGTGGTGGGTAGCGAAAGCAAGAGAGATGGAAAAGGCAGCGGCAATAGGTAATAGCAGACAATTGTTCAGACTCGTTAAGGAAACCGGAATTAGGAACCCGACCGTTAGCGAAACAATCTCAGAGAAAGATGGACATATTATTCATTCTCAATCCAGGAGATTGGATCGATGGGCAGAACACTTTAGGGATCAGTTCAACTGGCCTTCAGCCACACTTCGGTTTCCCACGATCTCCAGTCAACCTGAATGGCAAGTTAATGTAGGTCCTCCGTCTCTTTACGAAGTTGAAAAAGCCATAGGAAATCTGAAACGAGGGAGAGCAGCAGGCCCTGACAGGTTTACTCCTGAGATTTTTAAGGATGGTGGTCCAGTATTAGCAATGAGATTAACTGAGGTCTTAGGTAGAATTTGGGAACTGGACGTAATCCCATCTGACTGGTCTCAATCACTGATTGTGCCAGTCTATAAGAAAGGACAAAAGTCCTCTTGTGACAATCACAGAGGAATCAGTTTGACTAATATAGTGTCTAAAATATTAGCTTCAATAATACTTCGACGCCTAACTAAAGCTCGTGAAGAGCAGACTAGAGAAAACCAGGCTGGTTTTCGACCTGGACGTGGTTGTATAGATCAGATATTCACACTACGTCAGGTTCTAGAACACAGACACACATTCAGACGCCCCACAATGGTAGTATTTCTCGACCTTAAGGCGGCATTCGACTCTGTTGATCGTGAGGTTCTATGGCAGTGTTTGTCACTGAAAGGAGTACCAAAGAAGTACATTAACCTTATAAAGGCTCTCTACTCGAACACAACTGGTCGAGTGAGAGCTTATGGCGAACTGTCATCAGAATTGATTACCTCAAGTGGTGTTCGTCAGGGCTGTCCACTCTCTCCATTCTTGTTTAACTTTGTCGTCGACGTCCTATTTGGTGAAGACGCTGACAAAATACAGAGTCTTCAGACCACTCTAAGCAACAATGCAAGCATGTTCGGTATGCGATTCTCCCCCCTCGAAATGCAAAATGTTGCTTCAGGATCGGGTTGCATTAACACCCGAACTAATGATAGGGAGTGAAGTAATTGAGCGTGTCGACCGCTTCACTTATCTTGGAAGTCTCATCAGCCCTTGTGGTCTGGTGTGTGACGAAATCTCAGCACGGATACGGAAGGCTCGACTAGCTTTTACCAACTTGCGTCACTTATGGAGTAGGCGAGATATCCGTCTATCAACCAAAGGATGGGTTTACTGCGCAGCAGTTCGTTCCGTCCTACTTTATGGCAGTGAAACGTGGCCGGTAAGAGTAGAGGATATTCGTAGGTTACTAGTATTCGATCATAGGTGTCTTCGAAACATTGCTCGTATATCCTGGGACCATCGAGTAAGTAATGCAGTTGTTAGGAAACGGGTACTAGGTAAGGATGGCAAATCAATTGATGACGTAGTGAAACTTCATCAGTTGAGATGGCTGGGACACGTGTTACGTATGCCCAACGACCGACTGCCTTGATGTGCGATGTTCAGTGGTATAGGAGTAGGTTGGAAGAAAGCTAGGGGCGGTCAAACCAAAACATGGCACAAGTCCATGAAGTCACTGACAAGTAGACTGAGTCATATTGGTAGGTATAGACTACCTGGTTGGGGACCGCGAGATGATGGCAACCGATGGTTAGAGACCCTGAATCGTTTGCAATGGAGCAGGTGCATACACTCTTTGTGTTCTCCCAAATTTTAAGTCTCCTGATTCCTCCTTGTCTCTTTTTTTCTCTTCCCAAATTTATCTCACTGGATTATACTCTTTAAATAACATCTCCAAACCCTAATCTTTCCGATTACTGCTTATACTCTTACTACCTCTACCACTACGGGATTTGAATCGACCACTGCATCTCTGTGCTAATGTGGTGTGGCAACTTGAACTGATGTACGTACGTACGAAGTTCGATGTTGTTACTGACTGACTGACTTAATAGCCACTACACAAAATATCACTGATTGTAAAATGACAAAAAGCAACAAATTACTGAGTTAATTCAATGTAGATAACCACTTAATTCTATATTTGATGATATTTTGATAAACTCAATTATTAATTTTGATCGGTCTTAGCATATGTGAATCCTGTTTGGAATGCCGCTATACAGCCATTTCATCACATGCTTTATAGAAAAGATGGATTTTAGCTAGCATTAGAATTTAAAACTCCAACTTGGACTTATTAGCTGGATGTATCTGCATCCCACTGTTGATGTTCACATCAGAACTCGAATCCAACACCTTTCGTTTCAAACACACAACGCGATATTCGCTGATCTAATGAGTCTAGATAGATGATTTGGAATACTCCACCAGCCACAATTCATCTATTCTATGAAAAATACGAATGTTTCATTATCATTCGACCAAAATTTTAAGGAGAAATTTGTTAATGCATCCCGTCCGTCCTTCTACACACAAAATGGTAGAATAAACTAAACAAGCATTCAATGAAATGATTATAAAACATTCCATTATGTAACTAACTTTTGTACAAAATATTACAATACACTCATCAATTAAATCTTTCTCCATTTGTTCAAAGAACAAAACTTGTTTCATAGCTGGTGCAGAATATAAATTTTGTAAACTAATTGATTCAGTCACACCGCCAGTCAAATCCATCATAGCTTCTTCTAGTCGAACATACTCCAATTTATCATAGCCACCTAATAATCTAAAATAAATTGAACATTTCCAACGAAGAGATAGGAAAAATAAAGAGGAATAATACTTAAATATAGGCATTAGAGCTTATTCAAATCATGTATATACAGAGTATACCAACCACTAATCGATATATATATATATATATTTAACCGTGACACAAATCGATAAGTTCGCAAAATGTAAAAGGGAATTATTAACCACATGACTTTGAGTGCAAAGCTTACTGATTAACGGACAATTTTCTTGTACGGTAATTTGTATAAATTGAATGAAGATAATTATCACAAACAACTAATTCTGGTGATCTGAAAACTAGTAAAAATCTTGGTCGGTAAAAACAGTAACTGTGAACCTAATAGAAAGGCTTTTTGTTAGTCGTTTGAGTAGGTGAATTGATCAACCATACTACAATAGACTTAATGGTTATATTAAGGGGACTTGCACAGAATGCACCTATACCAACTAACACTGGTCCGATTCAGTCCCTAATATCAACGAGAAAATTCAGAACTCTTACTAATAATTATATAAATCTCATACCCGTTGATTAAGTTATTAGCTATCCGGGTAATGCGCTGGGTATTTGAAAAGGAAGGTACTAGGTTCGAATCCCAATGTAAACATAGAAACTGGGGTAGATGACCCAAATAGGGATAAACGCGCTCTTTGGATTTCATTATCAGTCATAATACATCTATTCAATGAAGATAAAAGGTTGCAAACAGAGGATTTCTTTCTTTATTATGAAACAATTAGTGGGATAGTAGCATATCGGTCAAAACACTGATATTATGATAAACCGCTTTGGCGAGTGGTAAGGACTTGATGATACGGAGATTTCGCTCATGAGCTGTCATTCTGGAAACTAGCAATCAGTACTTTTTGTATCTAACTGCTTCTCCATATTGTATATATTTACGTTGAGGTCACGTGATAAGAGAAAATGGACTTCAATGACTGTCCGACTGACATCATTTTGTGGTGTGAATCTACAATGCACCATTTAATTCCATGGAACCCAAACCATTCAATGATATAGTATGTGTTTTATCATAGAAAAAGATAAGAAGCATAAATTAGTGGACGTAAATAAACGAGTTGGAATTCAAATTCTTAGTTTTAGTACTCAAAGTCGAACAGCGACTTTTTAGGTGGGAATGAAACAGTAAATAGAAGAATAAAATGACTAACTATGAAAAAGCTGAAATTAAAAAATGCTCCGTGAGACTATTATAGTGAAATTAAACTCATTTAATTGCATTACATAACCAGTGGATATGTTAATGACACTATCTAGCTGCCTAGACCGAAATGGTTGAACTGTGGCTCGAACTTACGACCTGCTGCCTGAAGGCCGAGTCTTTTAACCAAACTACCACTGGCTTAATGATTACAAGCTAACAATAAAGTTTTTATTGACGTTAAACCAATCGTAGAAAACAAAAATATTCCAACCCGATTAGCTTCTGATTAAAACAACAACGATTTTCAAAGGCGATAAGATGTATTGTGAACACTTACTTAGCATAGGCTTTTTCTAATAAGGCTGGCCAAAACTCTTTGGTACTAGAAGATGATAAAGATATACACTTTCCTTCATAACATGGTAATAGATCATCAATTGTTACTTCAAAATACATGCCTTCTTGCCAAAATCGAAAGCGAAAGATTCCCGGATGTTCATTGATATGTTGTACATCCCATTCTTGAGATTTTATATCAACAAGTACCTACATTATAAAATTTCACACATTAATTACTAATCCAACTTACTTTTGCCCAGTACTTCGCCTTATATTTCAGACCGGTGAATGCGAGGAGAATATTGAAATTTTTTACAAAGCCTCTTTTTAGACTAAAATATGATTCATTTCGACTGAAACATGGATCAGAGACAATTTCAGAAGATCGCAAGTAACTTAAAGGACCAGCAGGTATATTAAGACATTGCAAATTCATTGATTCTGGTGGGAATTCATCGTCGACAAACTTGACTCCTCTGGTTAATTGCTCCTTTTTTAAAGTAGAATAGTCTTGATTTCTAAACTTGACGAAACTTGTTAACGACATGCTTGTTTATTAACTAAACCACAAGTAGTTTGATTCGGCATAACATAAAGTATCTGGATAAGAAGTAATACTTTTGATGACTTTTATGAAATCGTCTGTAATGATATAAGTGTTCTATGAACAATAAAAAATATGTAAAAAAAGGATATTTGAATGCACATTAATTTATATACAGTTAAAGATTATTTCCTTAGCATTTCCTTGTTTCGCTTCGTCTGTTTTAGTAAGATCTAATATTTACATCAACTGTGAATTGATTGTTCGCTAGTTTTATTCTAGATAACTCGTATTACTGTTATTGAGTAACTAATCAGTCAGTAATATACAACCCAGAAGCCTAGTACGAGTATGTATAGGTTAAAGTACTTAACGCTTGTGACATTACATCAAGAGAAATCAACAAGACGAAGCAGAGAAGAGGGAGTATTATCACTTCAGTGAAACTTAATATACTAGACTTAGTTCAAAGGCAGCGCCCCCAAATGCCCTGGTATGGCCGAGAGTGGGGAGAGTCCGCTCTCCCTCTCGAAATGCTCTCACATGGCCACGCGTATATAGCCTCTGCCACGGAAGTCCTACTCACTGCCTTCTCGTGGCGGGGGTGTTGTTTACAAAAATGAGAGGACGAAAAGCGAATGTCCGGCGCTTTAACCGGGTTCAAAACCAATGGTGCACATGGGCTCTAGTATCCTGCGGGAACAAATGGCGTATGAACCAATTGTTGGTCACCGGCTTCCATGGGACTGCATCTCCTTACGATGCTCCACTGCCTTGTGGATCAGACCTTCAGGTCGAAGGCTCGGGGTATGGCCCCCTAAGAAAACCACCTGCTTCGGTCTGGGAACCCAGGCAGTATCACATCCCTCACACATATCGAATGAGATTTGTGTGGCGCATATGTATTTGGTGCCTCTTTGTACCATTATCTATGTGTTGAAATAAATAAATAAATAATCAAAGGCAGCAAGTAAGATAGAAATATGAAGTAATACTAAACTCATTACATGGGGGGAGATAAGAAATAAATTCAAATTCCCACAATTGTGATCGTTTTTGGACAATTGCTCAACATCTCCATAGATAGAATGGGATCATTGACTGCAGATCAACCCGGAAGTTTATGCCTGCTGACTTTACTCAGTTTAAAAGTCAGTAACTCTATGAACTGATGATTATGTGATCATGCGATCATCCATAGTTTTCTTCTAACTTATCATTAGGGCATGTGGTGGATAAGCATGTGTAACATATTTCCCAACCACCGCAGTTAATGAGTCATCAGTCAGTTTTTCACGAGAACTAAGTTGACAGAAAAAGTATTGGGATGAATCAGTAAAAGATTAATGCAGAATATACCAAATGGTCACAACAACCCGAGTCGGTAAAAGCTAATCTTCGTGTATCAACCCGACAAGTCTTGGGTTACTCACGTTTTCTGCTTTCAGACTCCATTGAAGAAAACTACACTTTCACAGACAAACCAGACTGCTGGTAAGTTACTTCACACCCTGTCTTGGGTTCATAGTACTGATGTTTTTTCTGACTAACATGGAGACTCGTTATGTGTAATGTATGAAGTAATCACCTCATTTAATTCAAGTTAACATCACTGACTTGCCTTGCTTACAAAAAATTTCATGCCATACTCAATAAAACTCGCTTGCTGGTTTCCCCTCTAGCCAGTAACGCTTTGATGGGACCTTTGACAGGTTATCAATTCTGGACGCGCACTGCTGAGGAGTCCCGTACTAGAATGAAACGGCCGTCCAGTGCCTACAGGTTTTCCATGGTGGTCTAGCTTTAATTAACTAATAATTTCGAATATTAGATTACTTTTTATATCTGTTTATCTTCTTTACTTTTAAGCTAAATAGTAACTCGTTAAATAATATGCTTCATCTATAGCAGGTGCTATACACTGCAAATCGGTAAGCACAAAACACGTTATTAAACTTATGCAGAAATTTATTTAACCACATAAAGTTCAAGACCCAAGGTAACATGGCTCAAAATAATTTTCAATGGCGCGAACTGGTTTATTCTTCACCACTCTCCAAATCATAAGTTTTGGCATTACTTTTACCTTTATATCTAACTACTTTATCCCTTTTCCGAACCATGTTTTTCATACTGGGTCTTTTTTATTACCTTTAGTAATTCTACTACTTAAACTTCTTTACTATTCAGTTTGTTGGTTCTATCTAGCTACATTAGTGCGACACTTGAACAGATGCATATGTGTGCCCGGTCTGACTGATTTGATCGTTAACAAATTGGGTCTTACAAAAACTACCTGAGCGAAATTAACTTTATCTAACGTTTAATCACCAAGGGTAGGATTCGCATCAGGTTAAAACTAGTCAGTCAGTCAGTCAGTCAGCTACAACGTAGGACCAGGCACATATGTGCATCGGTCCAGGTTGCCATACCTCATTAGCACAGCAAGATGAACACCGGATTCATAAAAGTAGTTATAGGAGGATTGCAATAAGGATATAGTATAGGAAGAAAGAATTAGTTCGTAGAAAGAAAGATATGAAGTGATCTTAATCTCTTAGTTTAAGAGAAGACAGGGAGTGCATACACCGACGCCATTGTGATCGATTCTGAGCCATGTCACCAAGAGTCTCCAACCATTGGTTACGAAAGTCACGCGGACCCCAACCAAGTAGTCTGCATCTACCAACATGGCTCAGACTACAAGTTAGTGACTTCAGGCACTGATGCCACGTTTTGGTTTGGCCGCCCTAACTTTCTTCCAACCATCCCCTACACCGGCTAGCATTGCACGTCGTGGTAATCGGTGTTCAGGCATACGTAACACGTGGCCCAACCATCTCAGTCGATGAAGATTCATAACCCCATCAACTGATTTACCATCATTCCCTAATACCCTGCGTCTAACCTCACTATTACTTACCCGGTGATCCCAGCAGATGCCAGCAATATTTCTAAGGCATCTGTGGTCAAATACTAGTAGCTTACGGGTGTCTTCTACTCTTAAGGGCCATGTTTCGCTGCCGTAAATTAAAACAGAACGAACTGCCGCGCAGTATACTCGTCCTTTTATTGATAGACGGATATCTCGCCTCCGCCAAAGGTGACGTAAGTTGGCAAAAGCCAAACGAGCTTTTCGAATCCGTGCTGAGATTTCGTCAGACACCAACCCATTAGGGCTGATCAGACTTCCAAGATAAGTGAAGTTGCCAACGCGTTCGACCACTTCACTCCCTATCCTTAGTTCAGGTGTTGACGCAGACCAGTCCTGAAGCAACAACTTGCATTTCGAGGGAGAGAAGCGCATCCCAAACATTCTGGCATTGTTGCTTAGTTATGATACGTCAACCGTCAAATGTTCAAAAAATTTCATTTTGCACGTGTCTTTTCAAACAGGATCGTACTATTTACGTGCTCTAAACTCTTTAGGTAAACGATCAGCTACCTTTATCAGGTGTACGAAAAATTTAGTTGGAAACAGAACGGATATTTACGGCAGAAATCAATGATCTGTAATGCCTAAAATTTGCTTCTCTCTAAGCATTTATGCACATTTTTGAGCCAAAACAGAAAATTTGAAATCTTATGTATTTTCAAGACTTTTCTTGAGAGAAGATACAACCAAAATACTCTCCCTGTCGACAAAATCGAATTTTGTCCCCAATAAAGGTTTAGGGGAAAGTTAAAGTAATGCATACATTTGAATACTGAAACGAGGTAAAGATATATTTGACGGATTGAATCAGTAGGAAACATTTTTTGACTTTTAGCGAACATAATTCTTCCATTCACCCTTACAAAGTGGACAAACGCATCCGATGCTTTCCAGGTTTGGTAAATCTTATTACATCTGGAAAGTTGATGTCTTATTAAGTAAGAGGTTTGACAGTGACTAGATAAATACCAGTTGACCTACACCCAATATTTAGTTCCTCGTTATAGACTATTTTTCGAGGTCCCATTACGGTGAGACTATAATTTATGGAAGACTATTGAGCGACGCTAAAGTGACCTTGAAAGTGTCTATCTACTAACTAAGACTAAATGAGGATCATAAGACAGTGTCAGGAATTAGGATTATGATTTGCAGTTGATAGCTAGGGTTAAGAATTAAATTTAGGGTTTTCATCACAAACTGACATCAGCCATAATGCCAAAACTCTATTTAGCCGAGTGGATGAGTGAATTTCGCACCAAAATCCAAAACTCGCTATTTTATATCTGACTGGTTCATCCATAAATTATAGTCTCACTTCCATTAACAACCAACCAACTGTACTAGAAAAAGCCTTACGATATACTATTCTTGACGTCTTATAGGGCTCTAAAAATCGAGAAACAATGATTTGGAACCATATTCTAATGAGTGGGTATCTGAGCCAATTCAAATGCCAACATGTAACCCACTTCTCTCATTGCCTAGCTAAATCAACGATTGAAAGTAGCTCATATTAGGCTATTACAGCCCAACTTATGTACTTGATTCACAGCGCACAAAATGTAGGGTGTAAACAGCTCTGTACTAATTATGCTTTTAAATGTCTATCAGCAAACATAGCCAAGGCTCCAAAACAATAAAATCCTTATGCCTCGTTAAAAGGCATAGCCATATGCTTCTTCTTCCCTGATACGTTGGAAGTTGGTAGCTGCTCCGAAACCACAAAGGGTGTCAAAGTTATAACTGGATATATACTAATTACGACGTTTAAGAGTAAAGTACTATACTCCTAAATAGTTTATACGTATAAACTACTGTTAGTACTACACTAGTAAATATTTAAGTTTTATCTGATTTTCAGGTAAATTTATTAGAAAAATAATGAGTGACTGATATGTACGTCACCAGAAATAGCTTTTTTTGATAAACGAACCACACATTTGGAAAGTAGACTGCATAACAATATCATACACACTAGTAGCGTCCTCAAGGTCGAAATTCGACTTGACGGCACTGAACTATCCAATGTCTAATTTATTATGAAGAATGAGTCCAAAATCAGTTGTTTCTTGCATACGCTTCTTGGCACTACTGTACGATTTCAGTACTTTGCCGGTATCTTATGAAGATATCCTGGCGACTCGACTACCTTTCTACTGAACGGTCCATCCCGAAATTTATGCAATAAAATGGTTCAAACGGTTCAAATGGTTGTGGACGGAATAGAAGAAGCTTTCGCTTAACAGGCTTCCGTGTCTAGTAGCAGGGGATCACCAAATCCTCCAGGCAGGAACCTAGGTATGTTAACAATAAAAGAGGAAAAGAAATTGGTAAATCATAGTGTGATGCTGTCCTTGGTCCTTAAGAATAGGTCAAGTTGCCTCTTGAAGGACTCCTGAGAAGTCGCTTGGACTAGCTCGGCCGGCAGCGAATTCCAGCTTTTGACAACTCTTAAGGAGTAGAAGTTGTGTCTACATTCCGTCTTGCTATGTTGTGTTTCCAGTTTCTGGGTGTTACCCCTTAGGTTATTATTCGAACTAAGCTTAAGTAGGTGTTTAAGAGGATGTCCAGAAGTGTTAAGAATACTATAAGCCATTAATAAATCACCTCTAAGACGCCTATATTCTAATGGGTAAAGGTCTAGTGAACGGAGGCGTTCTTCGTAAGGCTTAGATTTGAGTCCTCGAACTGATTTCGTGGCTCGCCGTTGGATACGCTCCAAAGTGACCTTGTCCTTTTGGAGTGAGGGGGGAGTACTATGTTTCCGTACTCTAAATGGGGACGGATGAAACTATTGAAGATTGTGTGGAAAGTTCTTCCGTCAAACTGTCCAAAAATGCGCTCAACGTTACCAGTGCAAGGTTTGCTCGGAAGGCATTTTTGTCACAGTTAGCGTAAGACTTTAAATCATGGGGCACCAGGACTCCTAAATCTTTTTCGACTTGGGATACTACTAGAGAGGAGTTTCCTAAGTTGTAACTGTAGTTTGCAACATGTCGCAGATGGACTACTTTACACTTTGAAGTGTTAAAGGTAAGTCCGTTATCGTCTGCCCAACTTTGAAGTCGAGTCAGATCCTCCTGAAGTGCCTGTATATCGTCTTGGTTGCGTATCTCTCTCCAAAGTTTCACGTCGTCGGCAAAAAGTAATAAGTCTGACGTTACCTGTTGAGGAAGATCATTTATGTAGATCAAGAAGAGAAGAGGCCCTAGTACTGAGCCCTGGGGGACCCCACTAGGACATTCCATAGCCTGAGATAAAGTGAAATTAACCCTAACCTTAAAGTGTCGATTTTTTAGGTATGAAGTAAGCCAATCGATTAGAGGTGGTTTGATACCTAGTCGTTTGAGCTTGTTGATAAGACACAGTGGTTAACCTTATCAAAAGCTTTTGAGAAATCAAGGTAAATGACATCAACCTTTCCCTTGCATCGAGGATGCTTGTCCATCTGTCCACCGCAGTCAGCAGGTTGGTTATACAAGAGTAACCCTTCCTGAAACCATGCTGTTGGGGTGAGAAGAAATTTAAGGACAGTAGATAGTCATTTAAACCGTCGCATATCAGGGACTCCATGAGTTTTGAAGGTAATGACAGAAGAGCCACCGGCCGATAACTTGAAGGTTCATTGCGTCGACCACCTTTGAAAATTGGTGTGATGTGAGCCAACTTCCAATTTTCCGGTAATTTGCCTCGGCTAAGCGAGTGTGAAAACATCACGCTAAGCGGCGTTGCCAGGATTGAGGCTGCCTCCCTCAGTATGGCAGGATGAACCATATCCGGGCCAGGAGAAGTGTCTAGTCTTAAGTGCTGCAATTTCCGGAACACCAAGTCAGCGCTTAGGTCCACTTCAGAAAGTCCTGTGGAATTGCAGATGAAACTGTCGTCAGTAAAGTTGATGTCAGCCGGTTGAAATGTTTGAGAGTAATGTGCCGCCAGAAGGTTAGCGGCGTCGCCATCGTTGTTGGTCGGGCCGTTAAGACCTACCAGTTGAGAAACTCCTGTTTTGGCTTGACGAAGAGAGGCTGCATAACGGAATAGGCTTCTAGGGTTAGAGGCGAATTTGTCCATAAGCTTTGTTTGGTACTGAAGCCTGTCTTCTCTTATAGCCTTCGTGCATATGTTCCTGATATGTTTATATTGCCTATACGCTCCATCGTTATTAGTTCGTTTGTATTCCGCCCAACAGTGCCTTTTGCGGCTTAGCAGGCGAAGGGTACGGTTCTTGATTACTGTAGGTGGCTTGCAGCTTTTGGGAACCGTTTGAGGAACTGAATGGTCTGTAGCACATAAGAGCGTGTGCAGTAAGAAGTCCCAATGACCATCCACATCGAGTTGAGGGTGAACATCCCAAACCACCTGTTGTAGATAGTCATGTAGAGCTGGCACATTCAGCCGTTTAAAATTCCAACGCAAATTATTGTTGGGATACCTTAGCTTAGTTTTGATGACAAAACTGAAGGCTATGACGGCATGATCGCTCTTTCCCAGAGGAGCCAGGATTGAGAGGTTGTCGACTAGGAATTCTTCGTTAGTGAATACACAGTCTAAGCGCGATGGTGTCTGACTGTTTCTCCAACGAGTTGCCGACCTCACATTTTCATATAAGCCCAAGTCATCGATGAGGTTGAAGAACCGAGCTTCAATTGAGTTGTCGCCTCCAGTGTACGTGTGTTCCGCGAAGTTGACTCTAGGGAGATTAAAGTCCCCTAGAATCAGGATGTGTGTGAAACCGAGACGGATAGAGCGGGATAGTCCTTCCAGCATACGACTATCGTACTCGATGTCGGCAGTTGGCTTCCTGTAAATGACTCCGACTAGACACCTCGAAGTACTAGACAATCTTACAGAGCACCATATGGATTCCTCAAGATTGTTAAACTCGAGGTTGTGAACTTGGTGCACCTCCAAGCAAGAGCTTATGTATATGGCTACTCCGCCCCCAATTCCTGTTTTTCTGTCGTTGCGGAACAAAGTCATCCCAGGTAATGCTAACTCTTGGTCCGAGAACTGAGAAGATATCCAGGTTTCAGATATTCCTATCAGATGGGCCTTATTAGCGTTGCTAAGTTCACGTAGTTCATCCAGTTTGTTTGGTAGACTCGCGGCGTTCATATATAAGCAGTTTATGCTTTCAATTTGGAACGCGTGAGCTTCGTCCTGTTTTTCTGTATGAACCTTATGTGAATGGACAGGTAGCCCACCTATATGAGGTTTGCCGAGGTGGTAGGCCCTGTCCTTTACACGTTTTTTTATCGTTTAGACAGTCCACAAGTGGAATGGTCAGCTCCAACTTGCCTTTGTTCTTGGTCCTAGCTTCGTATGGCCTATCCGGGTGCATGTGGATTCCAGGTGGCAATCGACGTCTGTTGGCACGAAATGCTTCCAGAACTGCAGCCGCCATGTGGGAAGATGGGAAGGTTATCTTCATTAGACGGGGTCCTAGGATCACCGTCCTTCTTGGCTAGTCTCGTCACATGCTGAGTCAGTATGTGTTTGAGCCTCAAGGACTGTTTGATGAATTTCCATTCCCTGATGTCAGAATTTGATTGAGTAGGGTCTGCATTTTCCGGTATACCTTGCACAATTATGTTTCTTCCGCGGAAAAACTTCTCGCGAGATTCTTTAGGGATGTTTCGTATGATATTGCGCTCAGAGTACGGTATGTCGGGCAATATTCTTACGTTACCATCTGATTTCAGCAAGTGACTTGCTAGCAAGACGTCCTCTACGTCGGTAGCATTCTTAAGTGTTACTCGGAGAAGCCTCGGGTGATTTAGATGCTTAGAATCCTTTCCTCGAGTGAGCCGGGTGACCGTCAAAGGCTCTATTCTAGGAAGTTCGAGCTTCTTGTTCAATTCACCCCAGAGCATCCTGTCGTTTTTGTCCTGCAGACTGAGAGGAAGGTCAGGATTGTCAACGAGGTTCATGATAATGAGAGAATCGTCACGAACTGTTGTTAATTTACCAGGTTTCACGATGGGTTCAGGTTTAATAACTTGTTGTTTGGAGGTCAGTGTGCGTTTTTGAATCTTGGGCTCTTTATTGACCGGACGAACAGTCTTGGGGGTAGACTGTGCGACCAAATCACCAGTTATTTTCCGTGCAGCAACACTTGGGTTGCTCGGCTTAGGCGGTGATGCCTGGTTCTTTTGGGCTCTCTTAACGTGGGTCGAATCACCTACAGGGTTTTTGGGAACCACTGTTGTGTTCAGGGACCCTGAGCTGGGAGACCCGAGTTTGCTTAGGGAGTCTAGTACCGTCGACGTAATGATGGTGCTGAGCCTCGACACGTCATCATTAGTGTTGATGGATGCTCCATCGGTGGTATACCTGTCGACATCCCTATTTTTGTATCCGTCGCACGCTCTTGTTTGTCTACCGGTTTTTTTACTATCGTTATCCAAGTTAACTGACAACTTGTTCCGAAGACCTGTCAGTAGGACAATGATGTTACTCAGCAAGACTACAGCGTCCGTGCTGCACGTGACACATACCCACTTTTGGTCTGACTTGCTGAGTCTGTTGTAAGCAGTTGCTGTCAGATCTGTGCATGCTTCGTGGAACCAACCTTTGCAGTTGTCGCACTGCATGCCAGTTGTAACAGCAAAACGGCATCCCGGACGTTTGCATGAGTTTTTCATGACTGTGTTGAAGCAAACTATGTTATAGATGCTTGCAAAAGCCTAAGACCTTTAAAAAACACTAAAAAGCACACTGAAAACGGACAAAAATGGATAAAACGAGTGATATAAACTGAAACTAGTCTATACGTGAAAAACAAAAAAAACCGAATAGTAAGCTGAGGCAAAACCACAGGTAACTATTAAATATGGTGAAACTAAAAAAAAGTAATCTACCGAACGTATAGCTCAGGATAGATTCTTTAGAACTGAAATGGTACTTTTGTTGCGTAAGAACACAGCAAAAGTTTGATAAATGCAAATCACGTTATGACTAAACTTCCCGTTCGAAAAGCGCGCGTTGGTCAGACGAGCTGTGGTGCCACGTTCTCAGAAGAC